TACAACCCTAAGGGTAACGGCCAATGCGAAAGATATAACGGCATTATTTGGAAGACCGTTCAATTGGCTGCCTCAAATAACGGATGTTCAATTGATAATTGGGAAAATCTCCTTCCTGTCGCATTATACGCCATTCGTTCCCTATTGTGTACCGCCACGAATGCCACCCCACACGAAAGGTTTCTACCTTTTCAGCGACGGAGTTCGGCGGGAGCTTGGCTTCCATCTTGGCTCTCGACCCGGTACTGTGTTTCTGAGACGACATGCACGTTACACAAAGAACGATCCCTTGGTGGACGAGGTAGAGCTTATAGAGGCGAACCCTCAGTACGCGCTAGTACGACATGCAGATGGTAGAGAGTCTAATGTGTCTCTCAGGGACCTAGCACCGGCCGGAGACGTACCCGGACCGTGGATAGCCCCTGAGGACAGACCAAATACCCCTGACACTGAAGCCCCTCCGGAAGATCATGGCACTGAAATTGTTCCTGACACGCCGTCTGACGACACTGTCTCCGTTGAGGCCCCGTCAGACACTTCGGATGGGCCAACACCTGAAACCCTGACAGGGCTAGCACCGAATAAACGTGTTCATCCAGAGACTGACTCTGACGCGGAACGGCCTGCTCCTCTGAGAAGGAAACATTTCGGAGCAAGGTATTTTAGAGCCCACAGACAGGCTCGCACTGAAGAGCCTCCCTGTTCGAGTACTCCGACCACGAATCATGGACTGCCCAGGCGGCCACTGCGAACTCGTAGGAGCCTGGACATTTAAGGGACTTTCTTCCCTATCAGTGAGAAATTTGGTGGGGAGAATGTTGTGAATATGGATTATCTCCTCTTAGATAATCCAAGCTATAAAAGCTGTATACTTCCGCTGTCAAGTCAGATGAGTAGTAGTATTCTTAATTGAATAAACGATTACTAGACAGAATCTCTTGTCCTGTTTTCATTACAGGTTGGTCACGTGGCAAAGTTCGCAGTCCCATAATCTTTCATAGACTTTCCTCTTCTGAGAACAAAACTCTGCACGCTGGAGATGTGAAGCTCCACCGAAAAGGGCATAGCAAAAAAAAAGGAACTCTCCTGTGCGAGTAAATAACCGTCAGCGGAAAATGGATTATTGAAAAGTGTTTTAACGAACGAGTAAAAAAGGATTTCACCAATATTACAAGTAATGCTCATGAAAATTTCTTTGTTTTCCGATTTGAATTCTCTAATGGATCATATTTCGTAATTTAATGATTAAATAAACTCCTTGCGAGTACTACAACGACAAAATACCCGTAGAAATTTCCCTATTACATTGTTAAATATTTGAGCTTAACAACTTTAATCAAATATTGCACTAACAATTGTATTAATTCAGGTAATTATTTAAAGAAATAAGACAATACAAAAACCAAATATTTTTTCTGTCTGTCCTTACTGTTAAAAGAGAATGGTCCATTATTTATCTGGGGTAATAGCAGGGTGTAATGGATGGGTTAACTTTCTAACGGAAGAACAGGCAGAATTATATGATGACTATAAATTTTGTACACTCACACACGCATTCAATGACCATTTTCCAACCTCTACTATTTTCAGGGCAGAAAAATTCTCACTAGAATCCAGTCAGTCTCTCACTCACTCACTCACACACACGAAATGCACAAAACAAAACACGTGATATCTATCTGACCATGAAAAGTAAAGTTAAAATACTGGAACACTCTCTTTCATAACACATATCCAAAAACTTCCGATGAAACTTATATAAACACACACACACACACACACACACACACACACACACACATACACATATATATATATATGATATAAGGATATATAAGTTTTTATAATTTTATATATCAGAAAACAGTGTATGTATATATATATATATATATATATATATATATATATATATATATATTATATCAAATTATAAAACTTATATATCCTTATAGTGAATTTCCTAGCATAGCTTAGATGTGGCACAAGGCCGAAATATGGGATACGCAGTCGTAATTGTTGTAACGAGACAAGCTTGCTAACCATTACACCGCCACTGGCTGCCCACTTATATATCCTTATATATGTATATATACAGTTTGCTAGTATATAAAATTATAAAAAACTTATATATAAACCTATAATGAAATGGACAACGTCCGACAATTATTTTAAGACATTTTTATGTTTATACATTCTTTTTATAGATACAAACATTTAAGTAAATGCTCTGTTTATAATAAACAGTATTGAACAACATTTACTGGCCTGAATGTCCGAGAAATTTTCATAGAAAATATTCGTCCTCCGACAGTAATCGAACCTGTATCCTATACGGAACCGTCATATAGCCCGACGTGCCTTTAACCGATTTGGCCACAGAAGAGCGTTCAGTTAGCAAGGTCGATTTTACTGTCTTTAAACTACAATCTTCCATGAATCTCTCACGTACATTCATATCTGCTCGATGCGTATCCAAATATAAACAAATGATGTCACACATTATGAAATGGACAAAGTCCGACAATTATTTTAAGAATGTATAAACATAAAAATGTCTTAAAATAATTGTCGGACTTTGTCCATTTCATAATGTGTGACGTCATTTGTTTTCGCCAATAGACTTAATAGAGTTGAAGCCATGACATGTTTTACTATTGAGACCAAAACTAAAAATGCATTTACCCTTTTTAGCTATTATGCTAAATAGAACCAATTCAACTAAAGGTATACAGAAAATCTACCTTCAAGATTGAGCTCATAAACTATTATTCCCACCACTGTAACAGGATAAAATCTGGAGTCATTTTAGTATTTCATTTAAGAGTACTAAGAACTTTCAGCCACCAATATTTATCGGAAGAAGGAAAATATATTGAAAATACTTTTAATCACTACCTAGGTTATACTCTGCGTATATAGAAGCAGAGATGTGAAGAGATTGGCACTGATCATATAAACATTCCATACCGTAGCCCAAATGAAGATACTAATAGAAAAAAATGTTCCTGTTTACCGAGGTGAATGTACAGAGGATGAGGTGAGCTATGCCAATTACGAAAGATGAAACAATAATGAGTTTAAAAATATCAGCACTCTCTACCAAATATTCCAAGAAATAAGTCTGAAAATAAAAACTTTCCAAAACAGAAACTATGATCTGGAATTAGAACGAAACCAGTTATGGCACATATCTTGAATAATTCATAAAAATTAACTATTTCAGGCGATGATAAGTATTTAAGGGTATGATTTAAGGGTTACTTGTCATCGTCTGAAGTAGTACAAACATAATACTGAAACATGAAAGCATTTGTGTAGCGATTGCAACGTTTTTATTATAATCTCTATATATATATATATATATATATATATATATATATTAGGGTGTGCAGCTTATATATTATATCATAATGAAGTAATTTATACAAAGAATTAATTATAAGACTGAATTAAGTCTTGTTAGCGAAATGATTTCGTCATTTAGCACATTAACATTGCTAATTATTCTTTGTTTAAATTATTTATATATATATATATATATATATATATATATATATATATATATATATATATATTACATGAATCATTCATACAAAAAAGTAGATTAGTAAAGTTAATGATATAAATGGCGAAAAAACATCATCGCAAACAAATTATTAACGAATAATAATAACACATTTAAAAAAAAACATATTTCGATTAACATTTACTACTACCTGGATTTACAAAAAAAAAACAAATTAATTTTCATGTCTGAGGATGGTTGTAAGAACAGCTGAAAGTACTAGCAAAGTTTAAAAAAGACCTTATACAACTTAAAAACAAAGATCATAACATTCATTGAGAGGTTCGTGGGTTAATGTAACTTTAATAAATTTGTTTGCGAAGATGTTTTTCGCCATTTATATCATTAACTTTACTAATCTACTTTTTGTATGAATGATTCATGTATTATAAATTGAATTGCACCACATATTTGATATATATATATATATATATATATATATATATATATATATATATTATAGATTGATTTATTTAAAATATTTTTTTCGCTACACAGTTCTAACCATGTTTCAAAAATGGAAGCTAAAAGCTACGAATTTAATTTTGTAAATTAAAGACATTAGTTCCATTTCATCCTCAAGCGAATTATAAAAAAAATAAAAATATCTATAAGAATATCTATAAAAATAAAAATTAAAAAAAAAAATTATCTATAAGAACACCGGATTATATATCTTACTGTTCTTTCTTTCTTTATATATTTATATATATATATATATATATATATATATATATATATATATATATACAGAGAGAGATAGATAGATTCTCAGATAGAGCAAATCTGTAGAAGAGACAAAATGAATGAAAAGACAAGAGGAAAACTATACTAAACTTTAGCCGACGCGTTTCGTCATTCAAAGGGCTGACATTTACCTTGATAAAGTCTGTCGAATGACAAAATGCGTCGGCTAAACTAAGTATAATTTTCCTCTTGTCTTTTCATTCATATGTGTGTGTGTGTGAAACAGTTTTGAATATTTTTTATTCTAATATCACATGAGCTTGGTCGTAATTAAACTATTGTAACTGATTGTAAAACGGCTGTTGTGAAGATTCAAGTTCGTGTTTTGTTCCTCGCTGACGTCACTACTGGCCGTGTTCTTTGATTTTGCAAATATTTGTTTTGGAGAAAATAAAAAAACAAAATGAACAGAAAAGTAAAGCAAAAATAAAGAAAACAAAAAATACACCAAATAAAACATTAATTATCGCAATTCCCTATTTGAAATCAGTGATTGGAAAAAACAAAAACAAAACAAAATAAAACACAGTAACCCAGCAGAGGGAGCGGCTGATTTTAAAGCATTCTTTTGAGTACGTCATAGAACAACAACCAATCATATTACTAGGATTGTCTATTCACCTCTTTGAACATTAACGTTTCTCGAAAGAATTCCAATTTTTTAAATTTGATATCCATTAAGCTTTACGTTGAAACATCGGTTCCCGTACGATGACCGAAGTTAAGCAACGTCAAACCTGGTCAGTACCTACATGGGTGACAACTTAGGAATACCAGGTGCTGTAAGTTTAGATGCGCTGATGATGTAATGGATCGAAATTGTTAATCGGATAGCCGAGTTCCAAATCCTGTTGGGTTCGTTAAATTCACTTAGGCACAAATAGCCTTGGGAAAAGTATGAATCACCCCCTCCTCAACTACGAGTTAATTAGTAAGACTAATCACTAAACCATTATTATCCCCACTACCAAATACTCTTGCAATCTAAAACTATTTTCTGGCTTTAAATAACCTACAAAGGATAGATAAGCCGTAAAAAATGAATCACTCAATCAATTGACTTCATTTAGCACAAAAGTCATTTTGAAGAGGAAGAATTTTATGTTACTACTCTTTTACGAATAGAGAGGCGCTTTGAAATCAGCATTCGCTATTCCGGGTCGCGCAAGTATGCACTCTTTTCTTCTTCTTCATCTTAGTCTGCGAAGCTCCGTAGACGCTCGTAGATCTTCTACAGATTCCGTTCATGGGAAAGAATTGGTCATTACCCTACAGCGCTTGTCCAATGCGTGTTGGTAGTGGCGGGCTTGACGATCCTGTCTTTTTTTCGATTCATGATCGCCAAAGTGTATTTACGCATAGGTGAATCTAACGATCCCGATCGGAATTCGAACTCGGATTCCGCTAGCGGAAAATATAAGCGACTCTTTTAAGGACGAGATAAACACATAGCCAATCTTGGAAGATTGTCTATCGCCAACTTTCCAACAGGGGAGAATATTAGCAGCCTTCAAAAATCAGCATTTAAAATTTTTTGTACTCAGCTTCGAGGTAAAACCATAATAAAGATAAAATGAATTCTGTTACTCTTTCGAGTTGTAACTGCTTTTTGCCTGGGTCGGAATATTAAGCAGCAGCACTGTTAGTAAATACACGACCGTCTACCTCAATCCCTAAACAGGAGGTGTGTTTTTTTTATTTATTACCTGTGGCAATGTATACACTTTATAAGTGCTCTTAAACAGAAGTCGATAATTGTTCCGGATTCTATTTTGTTGTCATAGTGCAAATAGAGGCTTATGAGATCATTTCTGTTAGTGGATTTGCGATAGACGTAGATAGTTGTAAAATTTGAAGCCCTCAGTATTTCTATGGTAATGGTAATGATATTTTTAGCCGTTTCCTTATAAGGAAACATTCGGTATTCATTAAACCGGACAGCTAGTGTCGTTGTCGATGGAAATTTATCGAATCTTCCGAGTAAAACAGTTTTTCGGGAAAATAGATTTCTCAAGCTCAACGTAAATCGTTTTCAGCGCAGAAAGGCCGGACTTGGTCACAGATATTACGTACTGATCCCAACGTAACTGTCGTAGAGCGAAGAAAATAATAGCATCGATGTTTACATTACGTTACTCGGCTTACGGCCGTATCATATTGAAACATCGGTTCCATTATGACCACCGAAGTTAAGCCTGGTCAGTACCTAGGACGGTGATCGCTTGGGGTAGGGAATACCAAGTGATGTAAACTTGAATGTGCGCGTGATGTAATGGATAATGACAAGGAATTGTAAATCGGAGAGTTTCAATTCCTGGTGTGGTTCGCTATTAAATACCCTTAAGAAATATATGAATCCACCTTTTCTCTCCCATCTATGGGTTAATTAGTAAGAGTTCTATCACTAAAGCATTATAATATTCTTAAAAAATTCTTACAATCTAAAAATACTTTCTGGCGATAAATAACCAACAAAGGGTTGATAAGCCGTAAAAACAAGTCAAACAGTCAGTTCATCTCTCATAAACAAAAGTTTGATCATCTACAAATATATACTAATCTTATCCCTGCCTCTCTCTCTCTTTCTCTTGCTCTCTCTCCTGCACAAACAGGCGAACACAGTTGAACTTTGACATTTCTTAAAAATAAAAAAAATAAATTTTGCTGAATCTGTTGCTTATTTTCTTTCATTTTCTATGTTAAAATCAGTAAATAAAAAAAAAGGGACCAATTTTACCAAAAACAAATTGATATAGATATGACAGCTGTCACGCAAAATACAATCAAAAAGCAATTTTTTTAACAAATTGATTGATTCGTTTTTTACGGCTTATCAACCCATTGCAAGTTATTTAAAACCAGAAAATATCTTTAGATTGTAAGAATTTTGGGGAGATAATTATGGTTTAGTAATACAAGTTCTACTAATTCACCCTACATTTCTTGACATGGAATTACGTAGATATGATATCCACTGATCAGGAGGATTCATAGTAGGATTTAATTTATTTATACAAATCATATATTAATTTGAACATTCTTTTACAAAAAGAAACCTAATTTCTGTAAATAAATTCAATTTTATTATCATATCAGATATTATATCTGCGAAAGGATGGAGTAGAGAACGATACGGTAAACGCATTTGTTATTATTAATTAAATCTCTTTTTCTTGATATTGAGCTCTTTAATTACAAATACTGCTTGCCTTAAAAGCGTTATACATCCAGAAATACAATGGCCGACATTTTTTAATTTTAAAGAAACAAAACAATTTTCAATCATTTCATCATTTTCACTTGAAAGCATTATACATCCAGAAATACAATGGCCGACATTTTTTAATTTTAAAGAAACAAAACAATTTTCAATCATTTCATCATTTTCACTTGAAAGCATTATACATCCAGAAATACAATGGCCGACATTTTTTAATTTTAAAGAAACAAAACAATTTTCAATCATTTCATCATTTTCGCTTGAAAGCATTATACATCCAGAAATACAATGGCCGACATTTTTTAATTTTAAAGAAACAAAACAATTTTCAACCATTTCATCATTTTCACTTGAAAGCATTATACATCCAGAAATACAATGGCCGACATTTTTTAATTTTAAAGAAACAAAACAATTTTCAATCATTTCATCATTTTCACTTGAAAGCATTATACATCCAGAAATATAATGGTCGATATTTTTTGGCGACAATAATTTTTTTAATTTAAAAACAAAACAATTTTCAATCATTTCACCCCAAGCAGGTTACTGAATATGAATGAATCTGGTTTGATTTGGTTTGTTTTGTTTTACGGTATATCAACCTCAATGAGTTATTAAAATGCCGACAAGATTTTTATTGCTGGTAATATTTTTTCCCAAAATGTATTGATGGTAATATTTTTTTTTCCTTCAAAAATGCATTGCTGGTGATTTTTTTTCATCAAAATTGTATTGCTGGTAATATTTTTTCTTCAAAAATATATTGCTGGTAATATTTTTATTTCAAAAATGTATTGCTGGTAATATTTTTCCTTCAAAAATATATTGCTGATAATATTTTTTCCTCAAAAATGTAGTGCTGGAAATATTTTTTCCTTCAAAAATGTATTGTTGGTAATATTTTTATTTCAAAATGTATTGCTGGTAAAAATGTATTGTTGGTAATAATTTTTCCTCAAAAATGTATTGCTGGTAATAATCCCCCCCCCCAAATTATTACTGGTATTAAAACCTATTTTTACACTTTCATAGTGTTTTGACCCCAATTTATTTTTGGGAGGTGAGGGGGGGGGTAACTATCTGCCCATAGTTGGGACCCTAATAAGTACTACCACATCGGGTCAGAGTGGACCTGGGAACACCAGAAATTAAGAAATGGTTCCACGTTCCTCAAAACCTCCTCATCAGAGGACTTGCTTTTGGACGTAGTTTATCGTCTTACCCAGGACGCGAATGAATCTGAGATAAAAATTAAGGAGAGAGAACAATAAAAGAACAGGGCTCAAAGAGAAAGAAAATGATGATTGACATTGCATTTAAAATTCTGCAGATCGTAGTTGACAGGAAGACAAGAAGCTGGGAGAGAGTTCCACAAGAGAGAAGTGCGAGAGAAGAAACTATTAGGATAGAACTTACGGTTACAAGTAGCAATATCCATAGTAAAATTATGAGACTTAATTGCCAGTCTAGTACTGCACTTAAATTCATAAAGTCGATGTATCAAAGAAGAAAGCTCATCAGAAGAATAACCATGAAAATATTTATAGAAAAGACACGGGGAAGCTACGTCACGGCCTTGGGAAAGTGACCAATAAAATTGCAGTTAATAATAATTTTTGGTGAGCAAAAGACAAGAGATTAATTAATTTGCTTAAATTTTACTTAGTATAATTTTAGTATATATCGAAGCACCAGATATATTAAAATCTGAATTGGAATCAGCACTGACCAAATTGAACAGAAATAAAGCAGTAGAACCAGACGGAATTGTAATAGAGATACCGGCAGCCATAGATAAATTCGGTATTTAAAAGATTACATACATAATAAATAAAATATATAACGGTGGTGATATAGCGGAAGACATAAGATGTCGTGCTCGAAAATGATACTTTTTCGATTTGCCAAAATTGGTCTTTTTTTAAAGCCAAGTCTCTTCAAAGAGCGAAAGGCTGTTGATATATTGATTTTCAAACTTTTAGCAAACTCTTCTGCCGAAATATTCAGTTTATTGTCAAACAGAGCGTCTTTATCGACGTTGGAAGGTCGCCCGGAGCGTGATTGATCTTTTAGGTTAAAATCCCCCTGACGAAATCTGCCAAGCCACTTTTTGATCCTCCGAAGAGCTGGAGCACAATTCAGATAAACATCTCGATTTTGTTTTGTCGTATTTCAGATGCTTAGTCCTCTTCGAAATTCATATGACACAATTTTCATCCTTCCTCTTTGAGGCGTTAATTTGTGGACAACACTTCAACATTTAACAAAACCTGACTCGCAACTGAATGATGAAAGCTTTCAATCTCGAACACGCCAGAAAGCAGAACCAAAACAAACGTCATTTTCAAGTTGTAGTAATTTTATATTAACAATTGAAATCTGTAACTAACTTTCGCAATGATCCGTTAGAATTTTATTATGCAAGTCAAAGTTTTCCTTATAACAATAGTCGCAACCAACTGATGCTAGTAAAATTTACAGGATATATTAATATTTATATGGGCAATACAGAAACACCTATAAGAGGGGGGGTTAAACAATTTTCGTGGGACGCTTTTCTTTC